TCAGTGATAATTAGTATGGCTTTATCAAAGGAAGAACTATACAAGACTGCCTTGCTTGGTCTTTTGAATACATTCACCAGTGCCAACAGTCTAAGAGAGAGATCATACTCCTGAAATTGGACTTTGAAAAGGCTTTTGACACCATTGAGCACTCTGCTATTCTCTCAGTCCTGAAGCATATGGGTTTTCCTGAAAAATGGATTCATTGGGTACAGATGGTCTTTTCCATACCTCCTCTGTTGTTCTTCTTAATGGAGAGCCAGGGAATTCTTTCAAGTGTAAAAGAGGGGTGAGGCAAGGTGATCCTCTGTCCCCTTTACTCTTTGTCTTAGGTGCTGAACTTCTACAAAAAATAGTAAACAAAGCCTCTGATATGGGTTTGATTCAAAACCAATCAATGAGGATGATGGATGTGGTTTTCCCATTATTCAGTATGCTGATGACACTTTAGTTTTGCTGAAAGCTTCCCAAAGAGAGATTTTCTGTTTCAAGGCCATCTCGAACATGTTTGCTCAGCCAACAGGCTTAAAGGTGAATTTTAGCAAATCCAGTTTATACCCTCTGAATCTCTCAGAGGAAAAGGCATCCTTGATGGCTAGCTTGTTAGGATGCACTATTGGATCTCTGCCCTTTACATATCTGGGGCTCCCTATGGGTACAACTAGACCAAGAGTGGTTGATTTTGCTCCTTCGGTGGACAGAGTGGAAAGGAGATTGACAGCAAGCTCCATGTTCTTGCCTCAGGGTGGAAGATTAACTCTGATCAACTCAGTTTTCTCTTCAATCCCTACCTATTATATGTGTTCCCTGCAGCTCCCTGTTACTATTATTAAGGCAATTGATACAACCTGAAAAAATTGCCTTTGGAGGGGAAATAACCCAACCTCAACTAGGAAATCATTGGCGTCTTGGGATAGAGTTTGCACACCGAAGGAGAAAGGAGGACTGGGAATGCTAAATTTGAGGGTGCAAAACACTGCTTTACTTCTAAAGCACCTGGTAAAATTTTATAATGCTACAGATTTGTCATGGGTGAAATTGATCTCAGAAACATATTATACTTCAATCATGAGTAAGGGTTCTTTCTGGTGGAGGGATATCATTGTTCTTTCAGATGTTTACAGGGGTATAACCAAATGCTCAATTCAGTCAGGCTCAACTGCTCTCTTTCGCAATGATCTCTGGAATGATGATTTTCAATGCACAAGTTTCCCTCAGTTGTACAATGTGGTTATGTACAAGAATGATTCGGTCAGAGATATGTGTTCCAGACCAATGGAGGATTCTTTTTTGCTCCCTTCATCATCTGAAGCATATGGTGAATTTTTGCAGTTGGAGGAACTCTTAGAGAGCTTACAGCTTCAACCTGGAAGAGGAGATGTATGGAGCTTTATTTGGAACTCTGACGTTTATACATCCAAACGGTTTTACAAGCTGAATTTCTCTGCTTTACAGCCTCCCAGGTCCCTGGTGTGGCTATGGAAAACAAAATGTGTTATGAAGATTAAAGTGTTTGCGTGGCTCTTGTTTTGTGATAGACTGAACACACGCGACATGTTGGACAGAAGGCATTGTGCTAAAGAGGATGAAGATCTGACATGTGTCTTGTGCAATACTGATCAGAGAGAAACAAGACTTCATCTTTTCTTCACATGCCCGTTTAGTGCTAACTGCTGGCAGTACTTGGAAATTCAGTGGAGCCAGAACTTGGAGTTTTTCCAGATGGTTGTTTTGGGAAGATTTCGGTTTGCTCATTGGGGGTTGCTGGAGATTTTCTTTTTGGCTGCATGGCATATTTGGAAGCAGCGAAATGGTCTTATTTTCGAAAATATCCAGCCTACCTTTCAATCATGGGAATCGCTCTTCATGAGAGAAGTTCTTCTGCATCTGTGCAGAATGAAAGATCCTCTCAAACAATCTGTTTCTGACTGGTTGCAGGCCCTATAGTTTTGTGGCTTCTTTGTTTTCTTTTGTAAATTGCCCTGTAACTATGTACATATTTCCATTTTATAAAATTTAAACTGCTGGGCAAAGCCCTGGCAGTATTCCCAGTCAAAAAAAAACCGTGACGAAGGATGCTGGCGAGATCTCGGAGGAGAAAGTCATCCCAATTACTAAAGATCTGTTTCCAATGATCTCAAGGCGGACAAGAAAATGCTCCAAGATCACGTGCAGGTGATGTATTTGCAATTGTTAACTAAGACTCGGCATGGAACCATCATCCAGCGTCACAAGATTTTGTTGCTGAGCCTAGTTGATGATACATCAGCCTTCGGAGAAGAAGAATAATCTGCAGAGGTCGACAAGAAGTCAAATGTCGACGAAGATGGCGTATGCACATTTTCAAGATGTTGTTGATTATGCTGTTCATCATGCATTGGCCAATCAATCCGGTATGCTAGTCAACACAATGTCAACGGTGGTTAAGTCCATGCTTGATGGCACCATCTATAATGCTGCTCAAGGACCGGTGTTCTTTCTAGAGAACAAGTTTCCACCTTACAGAGAATTGAAGACATTTACTCTTGAGTCATCTACCAAGCAGCCAATGATCATGGCTCCATCGACGTCGTGTTAACAATGAAATTTGGTAGATTTTTCGTCAACACATCGGCTCCCGTGAGAACAACTTCATTGGCGCCATCGACATCAGCTCTTCCAACATCTTCAGCGCCAATGATCCTGACAAAACAGCAGGAGGAGGAGTTGGCTCAAGCTTCGAGAATGAAGTAACCACCAATGTCGGACTTCCAGCCAGGAGCCAATACTATCCAGCCGACAACTCAAGTTCCTCCATTCCTACCTGGATCTTTGCCGATTCCACCAATTGGCACACCACCGCCGATGTCGAGAGCACCATTGCTTTCAAGCCGGGATGAGCTACGATTCCAAACACCACCTCAACATGAGGTGCCGGGTGCTCCTCATCATTCGGCTTATCCAAGCTTCCATCAACCAGAGGTTTTCCAACAACCTCAGTACGTGCAGCAGTCCCAGCATCAACTTCCAAATCATCATGGAGGTAAAACATGTTGAGGCTGAAAGTGCATCTAGTCCCCTAGTGGGCTTTGGTGATTAATGACAAAAGCGGTTGAGGGACTAATGCGTTTCATCAAGTTAATTGTAGGATATTTAGTTCCAGGGTGCTTAGGTGTGTGCTTAAAGTCTTGGAGACCCACCACAATTATAAATTCGAGGAGGCGAACTAACATGAAGCCCTAGTGATTAGGTTTATTTTTTCAAACTTGAGTTTAGGAAAAACCATACTACTAAGAGGGGTTTCAAGTGCTATTCTGAGGTCTCCAAAAGTGCTCTAAATATGTTCCTGAGGTCAAAATATTTTTAGAAGCATTTTTTGATAATGCATTTTTCAAGGCAGAAAGACCTGGCCAGAACTTCCGGACCCCCGTACCCGGAAGTTTCTATTAGAGCGGGGCTAAGCATATTCCTAGTTTTTCCAGCAAGCACATAACCGAAAGTTTCTAATTAACATCACAAATACCCTAAAATGCAAAACTCACTATATGCACATAACCGGAACATCAACATCACATCACAAATTTCACATATGCATATATCACCACATCACAAATTTCACATATGCAAAATATAAAACAGTAAAAAATGGCTTACCAGAGGAGGTGGTCGGCCAGCGGCTTGGGGAGGTGGTCGGGGAGGCCGGCGGTGGAGGAGGTTAGCGAGGAGGCGGCTTGGGGAGGAGGTCGGCGGCATCGGCTACTTGGGGAGGCCGGCCGGCAGCGTTGGCGGCTTGGGAAGGACGACGGTGGAGTCCTTGGTCGGGGAGGCCAGAGACTTGGGGACAACGACGGCGGTGGCGGAGGTCGGTGAGGCCGGCAGCGTGGAGAAGACGGTGGCAGCGGAGGTCGGGGAGGCCGGCAGCGTGGAGAAGACAGCGGCGGCGGCCCAAATCTAGACGGGGAGGGGGAGTAGAGGCGGCGGCGAGGGGGATGGAGGAGAGAGAGGCGGCTGCGGCGTGGGGGAGCGAGGAGAGATGGCAGCGAGGGGGAGCGAGGAGTGGGAGGTGGATGGCGGTGCCGGTGAGTGGGTGGGGGATAGGAGGCTGGTGAAGAGTTGGGGCTGGAGGCGAAGGGTGGCGGTGGCCCGGATCTGGCCGGGGACGAGGGGGAGGAGAGGAGGCGGCGGCGGCCTGTTGGTGGAGGAGAAGAGGCAACGGCGTTGGGGGAGGAGAACAGACGGAGAGGAGGTGGCGGCCGGCGGCGAGGGCGAGGAGGAGAGGAGAGTATATGGCGTGGCGGTGTGAAATTTTTCGGCAGTTTGGCGGCGTGAAATTTTCGTCCCCCCGCCCTCCCTTATATGCGGAACACCGCGTGCGGGTGACCTAAGCCGCCCGCACGGGATAATCGATTATCCCATGCGTGCGGGTGAGGTCACCCGCACGGGATGAGCTCATACCTTAATTTTGTTTCAAAAAATATAATTTAGATTAGAGTTATTAATTTTAAAAGTTAATATAGCGCAATTAAATCTAATAATTAATAAATCTTATCTAAATTATAATATTTAATATTCACAAAGAATTAACAAGATGTGAATTTTATTCGCATCTAATTATTCATCGATATGATTAATATAAATAAAGTATTCGACCATATAAATTGAGAACGACATATAGTACGAATAAACATGGAACTACATTCATTCGCAAAATTAGTTTCATCCATTAATCGTTTACAAATTAAGTTGTACACACCAACATATGTACTAATGTTTAACAATTTTGGAAACTTCAAATGAAGTTGTACACACCAACATATGTACTAATGCATGGTCAAAAACTTCTCTTCGTCAAGGGTTGTCTCAACTCGCTTGATCCGATTAGGCAGATCTGTGAACAATGGGACGTCATCATATTGGTTGTAATCTGACGCGTCTTCAATGCTATCAATGCTAACAATGTGTTGCTTTCCTGGCACAGCAATGTCCATCTTATTGTCGGATGGCTCCTTCACATAGAAAACCTATGCAACACGCTTAGCAAGAACCCACGGATCATCCTTGTGTCCTAGCTTGTTGCGTTCTACAATCGTAAGGTCGTAGTTATCGATGGATACGCCTGTTGTGTCTCTGACCCATTGGCATTGTAGCACCGGGATCTGGATGTTAAGGACATAGGCAAGCTCCCAAATGTCTTGTGTGATCCCGTAGTAAGACTTCTTCTCGCTTGATGCGTCAAACGCCTCCATCCGAACTCCGCTATTCTGAGCTGCGCTTTTCTTGTCCTTGCATATTGTGTAAAACCTATATCCACCAATATCGTACCCTTGCCATGAGGTCACGAGGCTACTTGGGCCATTTGCTAGCCTGTGCAATGTTTTTTCCTCGAGTGATTCACCGAATGTCAGCTCTTTCTCCTTCAACCATTCAGGAAATTTGCGTTTCTGTTCCTTAGAGATCCAAGTGGCCGTTCTTCTAGGATTGTTGGCTCTTATCTCGTTCATGTGTTCCTCAATGTATGGCTCGACAATGGCGAGCTGTTGCAACACGCTGCTATGTGCTTCTGCTACAGCTCTGTAGTCCTCATCATAGAACCTTTTCTTGCCTATGATCCCCGTCCCAGCTAACCAACCCTCATGTACAGGGGGGTTATACCAATGGGTTTGGCGTCCTTCATGTAATCTATGCAGCATTCAACCACCTCCTCAGTTGTTTACCCCTTTATCATTGATCCCTCCGGATGAGCTCGGTTACGGGCATACCCTTTCAGAACCGACATGTACCTCTCATACGCCCACATCTGGTGTAGGTATAGGGGACCAATTTCGATAATCTGAGGGACGATGTGGACAATCAGATGCTCCGTCATATTGAAGTAAGCTGGAGGGAAAAACATCTCAAGCTGACCCGCTGTCTCGATTGCAAAAGTTTGAAGGGGGCCTAACTCTTCAGGATCAAAAACCTTCTGTGATACTCAATTGAAACAGTAGCACAACTTTGTTATCACTAACCGAGTGTGAACTGGCTTGACCGCTCATAAAGCAATCAGTAGGAAGACTGTTAACATCTTGTGACAGTCACGAACATTGTACCCAGAGATGGTCAAATCTTTCAAAGATACAAGTTTTCTGATGTTCGATGAGAAACCAGTCGGGACTTTCACACTATGCAAGAATCTACATAAAGTTTTTTTCTCTTCTGGTGTCACTGAGTAGCACGCCGGAGGAATTTCGATCTTCCCATTTGCCAGCTCTTTTGGGTGAAGCTCATGCCTTATGTCCAAATTGATGAGGTCGGTACATAACTTCAACCCATCTTTCGTCTTACTCGGGATGTCCAGTAAAGTGCCAATGGTGCTGTCGAACACATTCTTCTCGAGATGCATTAGGTCGATGGCATGACGAACCACCTGGTCTTTCCAGTATTCCAGATAGCTGAAAAATATTGAGTGCTTATTGAAAGGCAAGGCAGTTTCCTCATACGTTGCGTCTGTATTGTTCTGATCCATCCGTTTCGTCCTCCTGACGGCCTTCTTCTTTCCCTTCCTGAACACGACCTTAATGTTCTTAGTCAGCTCGAACACTTGTGCACCAGTTCGTGTTTCAGGAGCTAGATCGTTCTCTACTGTCTTGTCGAATAATCTATCCTTCGCACGCCACCTGTGCCTCTGAGGTAAGAACCAACGATGACGCATGTACACTACCTTGCCTATGGAGGTGAGGTACTTGTACGACGTCTTGTCGATACATATAAGACATCCGAACTTCCCCTTAAACTGGTCCTGAGAGCGAAAAGTTTGCCGGTAAGTCGTTGATTGTAACGAATATGATGGCACGCAGAGTAAAATGTTCCCTACAGTACTCGTCCCATAGTCGTAACCCTTCCTTCCACAGTTCTTGCATGTCCTCCATCAATGGTTCCAGAAAAACATCTATATCAATCCCAGGCTGTTTTCGACCTTGTATAAGGATAGACAACAGAATATACTTTCGCTTCTGACAAATCCATGTAGGCAAGTTATACTCGGTGAGCAGCATTCGCCAAGTGTTATGTGCGCTGCTTAGGTCACTGAATGGGTTCATTCCGTCCATGCTCAAGGCAAACCTTACATTTCTCGGCTCCTTTGCAAATTCCGGGTGTAATGCATCAAAGTTTTTTCACTGTTGAGCATCGGCGGGGTGTCGAATCATACCGTCATTTTTCCGACCCTCCTGATGCCATCTCATCAACTCGACATCGGTATGGTTCAAAAACAATCGCTTCAGGCGATCTTTCACGGGGGGGGGGGGGGTACCACATCACCACAGCCGGAACATTTTTCTTTGAATCCAGCGATGTATCTTGGTCTACCACCTCTCCGTCCGAGCCTCCGTCGGCCATCTTGTACCGACTTGTCCCGCATGTTGGGCAACTGTCTAGATCCGCGTATTCCTTGCGGTAGAATATATAATGATTTACGCATGCATGAATCTTTTGGACACCTAGAGATAAAGGACATATGAGTTTCTTGGCTTGATATGTGTTCGTCAACAACATGTTCGGCTTAGGAAGCATAACTCGCAAAAGATCCATCAAATCATTGAACCTAGTGTTCGACCATCCATGTCTGGCGTTCAATCTGAGAAGTTCAAGCACAGAGTGCAACACCGTATAGTCCTTGTCGCATCCTTTCGCTTCGTCGTAAAGAAGTTCCTTCACTGTTTTTTTCAACACTTCCCAATTGTCCAACCCTCATCTGCTACCCGTTAGGACCTCTGGTTCAACGTGCCGCAACATATCTTCCAGATCAAAATCAATATATGCATCATCTATACCAGAGCCACCACATTCCGGGGTCGTTCCCTGTGACATGTCTTCGATTATAAAATTTTCTGCATCATGAAAGCACAAATCCTCAGCCTCTTCGTTCCTACCGGCGACATCGCCATGAAAAGTCCATGTCTCGTAACCCTTCTTAAATCCACGCTCTACGATGTGCGACAATACATCATTCGGTTTTTGCAGCAACATTTTGTTCTTGTAATCAAAGCATGGACAAAAAATGCCCCTTATATTCTCCATCACAGCATGTGCCTTTGCTAGCTCAAGAAATTTGGATGCTTCCTTCAAGAACGTCAGAAGAGCTCTTTTTGTGTTGTACATCCATGCCCGATCCATGACCTAGAATACATCTTTTCATGAGTATATTTAATCATATGAAAAAACGGTACAACTTAACCGGACATCACGCTCCTGGCGAGGCTCCTCCGGCGACGTGTCCTGCGTATCGCGCTCATCGCTGGAGGCACAAGGCCCGGGGGTGGGCAAACCATTGGCGCCGGCCGGCTTCCGAGTCGCCTAGCCCTATATCGAGCGACAAAGCTCCGTATCGACCGTATTGGTCCGATTTCGGCGTCAACACACATCTAAAACTTTGTATTTTAAAACAAATTGAAAACTTTATAATTTCAAAGTATACATTTTAAATTTAGAAACTTTGTACTAACATATTTAAGTCTTTGTAAAGCTTTGTAATTTCAAATTTTATTTCTAAAATTTAGTAACTTTATACTAACAGAATTAAAAAATATTGTATTTTAAGATTTAAAACTTTGTAATTTCAAACTTTACATTTCAAATTCAAAAACTTTATACTAGCAGATTTAAAAATTTTACATTTTAAGATTTAAAACTTCATAATTTCAAACTTTACATCTGAAATTCAGAAACTTTATTTTAGCACATCTAAAACTCTATATTTCAAAAAAAAGATTTAAAACTTTGTAATTTTGAAGTATACATTATAAATTTAGGAACTTTAGAATTTAGTAACATTATACTCATAATTAAAAACATTGTATTTCAAGATTTAAAACTTTGTAGTTTCAAACTTCACCCCTAAAATTCAGGAACTTTATAATGGCACATTTGAAAACTTTTGTAATGAAAACTTTACACTCCAAATTTTGGAACTTTGTACTATCACAGTTGAAACTTTGTACAAATACGCACTAAAATTTATAATCCTGTAAATTGTTTCGAAACGTATCCAACATAGGTCTAGTTTTATAGATATTGTCATAATGAACGTAATGGAACAAAATTAAAAATAGATGTTTAAAGTTTGTATATCATTTACTGTAAAAAAATGTGATAGACTGACACACATCAGATGTGTAAGCACCAAGCTTTATAATCCTATAAATTGTTTCGAAAAGTATCCAATGTATCCTATAAATTGAATTGTTAACATGGGTCTTGTTTTATAGATCTTGTCATAATGAACGTAATGGTGAAAATGAAATTAAAAATAGATGTTTAAAGTTTGTATATCATTTGCCTAAAAAAACATGTGATAGACTGACACACATCAGATGTGTCTCCCTCCTCCATGTCCATTGTCAGCCCTGACAAGCTCAGACCCGCTATTAGTGTCACGCGTCCATGCGCTGCTAGGTGCGCGCAGCGTACGCACGCCAAATAATAATTTGATGTCCTAACGTCCGCCAGGCTGCCGTATTTCCTTTTTTATTTACTATTATTAGTAGTAATTAATAAATTCACAGAAAGTACTATTAGGTGAGCAATATTCCAAACGCCAAACATGCATCAGCCCAGGCCCACCGCACCCCACATCCTGTCATCCTACTCCTACCGTTGTCGGAATAAACGATTTACTCCTATCGCGCGCCTCTACCTCCACCTTTATTCAAGTAAACGATTTACTTCGAAAATAAAAACAACTCCCCTGCTTCCGATCCCACCCCACGACCCGCATCGTACTCCCACCATTATCGGAGTAAATGATTTACCTCGAGAAAAATAACTTCTCTGCTTCTGGTATATATTCTATTTTTCCCGTACCCAACCAACCACTCTCACCCCCACTTCATTTTTTTCCTTTTTTCGGATCTGAATCGATCCACCATCACAGCCCACAGATCGGCGACACACCATGGAGGAGGACGACGACACCGTGGCGGTTGATGGCGGTGGCCGGCGAGCGGTGGCCGGCGGCGGTTGAGGTGAAGGCACTGCTTCGGGCCTCGTTGCCGGACGCTGGTAGCACCTTAACCAGCAAGGAGGTGTTCACCTGGGCCAATAGCAACAACTAGCGGCTGCTCCACGTCGGTGACATTGATAGAACAAGCATGTAAGGAAATAACACTCTAATTTGCATCTGCATACTCTCCTTCAACTTCACGTATGAAGCCCCAATTTTTTTTTCAAATCAAATTAATGTGCAATCTCCAATATTACCTGATCTCAATTGATGGGCTGCACAGGTCCTACATTTGCACATCGTGCTCCATGTGGCTGGCCGCAGAGGATAGGGTGGAGTCCGCCAGTGATGATGGTTGTTTGCTATTTTTCTTTTGCTCGTCATCTCTATTGACATGAGCGAGAATGTTTTTGCATTTTTTTGGTACTTGCTACATGATGGATGGCTGCTACTGCACAACGTCGAGCTCATCTCTATACCATACCACTACATCCTTCCATGATTCCATCGTCAACTACTGCTCGCCACCCGGTTGCCCTCTCCGTTACCAGTCACAAGACATAGACCATCCTCTTCATCCTTATAGCAAGATCCAGCAAAGCCACCAGATGGATTTTTGGCTGAATCATTTTTTTTCTTTTCTAGTTTGATTCACATGTGAGTAATTTTCTCGCTTGTGTGTGATTGAGGCTGTAATTTTTTCATTCAGACGACTATTTTTGTGAAACAGATCAACAATACTCTTAGTATCAGTTTGTAGTCTTATACTGCATATTGAACACGTCAGTAAACATATTACTACACTATGGCTACGAGATCATGGCTATATCGAGAGGAAGGTGGTAATTGTTTTACTCGCAGACCACGAAATCTCAGTTTTTACTCTTATACTGTGTATTGAACACATCAGTAAACATATTACTATACGGTGGCTACGAGATCATGGGCTATATCGAGAGGAAGGTAGTACTTGTTTTACTCACAGACCACGAAATCTAAACAATATTTATAATATTAGTAAAAGAATTACTAGCGTCATAAGCTGGCAGTAATTCTTTTACGACCATCTAGGTATGGCGTCATACTATATGGAGGCATTCATGCGAGTAAATTTATTACTTTTGAATGAGCAGATGCGGGAGGCTGGGAGTAAATGAAAAACTCCACGGAGTAAATTCGTTACTTTTGAAACGTGCGGAGATACTACAAAAATGGAAAACTCGGAACAAAAAACTAGACGGTAAATATTTTACCAAAACGCAAAAACAGAAAAACTACAAAGAAGGAACGAAAAATAGAAAAATCTGGATGGTTAATATTTTACCGGCCCATCCGGATAAGATGGAAATGATAAAAAAGAAACACGGGAGGTGGGGTGGTAAAAAACGAAAAGAACGAACCGAGAAAAGGTGGTATGCGGAGGAAAGGCGAGGTAGTAAAAAATGGGAAAACCGGAAGGAGAGGGAGTTGTGCAGCTCTCAACTAATATTCCGCGCTGCAGCGCGCTGATTAGCGCTACCGTAAATTCTCATAATATTTTTTATTCAAAATTAATAATAGTTTTTATATCAATTTACTAAATAGCTTAGCTATACTTGGAAATAAGCTGTTGACGGTAGCGTCCACATGTGGACGTTGTTAGAGTTAGAGATATTTCTGGAAGGATTCACATGCAATAATACATGTCATAACAGAATAGGAGATAGAGTTAGGTTTGGATTGTAACCGAAATCTCTAAATACCTAAATATCCGTAAGCCACGTTGGAGGCTGTTTCTAACTCATATCAATATACGTGCAGCCTCGAACAGATGTGATAACGCTTCCTAAACAATTATTGACATGACGTGAAGAAGATGAAGGTCCTGTTTAGATCCCCTGGCAAAATTTTTACCCTGTCACATTAAATGTTTAGACTTACACATAGTATTGAATATAAACGGAAAAAATAACTAATTACATAGGTCGTGTGTCATATGCGAGACGAATCTTTAAGCCTAATTGCTCCATGATCTGACAATGTGGTGCTACAGTAAATATTTGCTAATAACAAATTAATTAGGCTTAATAAATTCGTCTCATAGTTTACAGGTGGATTCTGTAATTTGTTTTGTTTATCAATCTACATTTAATACTTAAAATATGTGTCTGTAAATCCGATGTGAACGCCAAAACTTTACACCCCTGGATCTAAACACAGCTGAAGACGCTATCCCA